AAAAAAGGGTCGTCTTACAATCGTGTAAATACGGTAAACACCATGGTAAAAGAGACTACTAATTCGTGCATAATCTTGCATTGTGAATGTATAATGTAATCAAACAGTGCTGTATTCATGCACACATAAATGTGTACAGATCAAACAATATGAGTGCTTTTCACCCTTTAGACTATGCTTTTATATATGTGTCTGGTAACTATTACAACCATGGAACCTAACTTCATCATTATGCTCTGCTGGTGCAATTCATTGGTTTTCTAAACAGCATGTTTAGGATGTTTAGACTAAATACCCCATATGTGCTGACACTCACTATTGGAACTGCAGTCATTGCATTTGTAATGCTGTTGAGGTAATTTTTCAAAATCCAGATTACACCCTGCAAATGTGCTTCATACACTGCTCGTTGAGCATCAAGTTTACGTTAGCTGTGCCAACAGTGGTATTTATACACATGCATATATTTGCAGGCTACCAGTGCCCTGACTGACTGATCACTGCCATCACTATGACAGATCCCCCAAGACCTTTGCTGAATTTGATGGAATAAATTTGACTAAAGACAATCATATTGAGTTAACAGTCTCATTATTTCGTAGCATATGATGCGATTGCATGCTCGTCTGACCGCCTCAGTGGAACAGTGGCTAAGGTGCTCAACTGCTAACCCGAAGGTCACGGGTTCAATGCTGGCTGCGGTGGTCACATTTTGATAGAGGCGTAATTGTAGAGGTACGTGTACTGTGCAGTGTCAGTGCATGTTGAAGAAAACCACATGGTCAACATTTCCAGAGCCCTCCACTACATTGTTTCTCATTCGTACTGTGGTTTTGGGACGTAAAACCCCAGATAGTATGCATATGTGTGTCGCTGTACCTAAAAATAAGTGTCATTTGATATATACCATTGTTATCTGTAGAAACGCTGTGGACAATCTATGGATCTTCACTCGCGTCGAAATGAACATCCTCTAAATATTGTATATTAATATTGCCAATATTGCCAAATATTATATCAATATTGTGTGTGAACTGATGTGGACACTATATGAAGGTCCACTCTGTTCAAAATGGATATCCTCTAGATATTGTATAATATTAAATTAACTTTCGTGGACATCCATTAAATATAAAAATATCAAATGATTGATATTTATTTGATGTCTACTGGACATTGCATGGTTGGCTGGGATTACCTTAGGCACCTGATGCGGACACTATTGCCAGTTGCCTAACAGTATTTATAATAGAACCAACACTAGGGCTAGTCAGTTGAGATGCATGGTATGGCTGTGGCTTAAGTGCATGAAAAAAGACACAAAAGAGCACAGGACAAGCACTTACTAGCAACTAAAATATTTATTGCATAAGAAAATAGAAATGCCCTAAATAAAGATCAATCCATGCGTGTGAAGGCTAAAGGTCAACCATGGCACCATGTTTCTAAATAATCTTTCCGCTTTTGTTAAATGACTGTTTTCGTGTTGCCATGGCCGTCCTTTTGCCTTCACTCACATGCATTGATCTTTATTGGTGCATTTATATTCTTCCCTTTTCAATAAATCTTTTAAAGTCGAACATCGCTACAACAAATGCCGCTTCGACAAAATTTCTGCTACAACGAAAAATCCACGATTTCCCGTCAGCAGTCCATAGGAGTCAATGCATAAATATTGTCGCCGCAAGGAAAATTTTTTCTTCGATCCCCTCGCTTCAACGAAATTTTACAATTCAATTCCAGGCTTAGATACTTATTGCTATGCAGTCGACCCAATCATTAACATTTCGATGCGTTTTCAGAGCCTGAAAATGTGTCAACGAAGTCTAAGACACACGTTGGCGCTACCCTACCAGAAATCGCTGCTATACCGACGCTATTCAGCACGCATGGGTGCCGCCATTGCTCGATAGCGATGGCAATGAGACTGCCCTATTTTTGTTTTGCCACTGACTTGCTTTTGAGCTGCAGACAATCCGAAGCTGAAGCTCAGTCGGTCAGTTCATCGTTTCCTTCTCACAGCTGCTTGGTGCAACCGCAGCATGACGTCTTTTTTTATTCTGATGCTTATCATAATGTTCGCGCTTAGCCAGTGTGGTAACTAATCAGCACGGCTGTTTGTCCACATTAACAAAATAAGTTAGCCGCGAATGATGGATGATAAAAATGGCATACAATAATGCAAAAGTTGCCACTGCCTGATACCCTGCCTCTATCTGGCGTTCTCGGATACTTTTGACGGTGGACAGCTGCTCGTGTTACCCTGTTAATGCAACTGTTTGGTTCATTCACAAAAGCGGTTTCAGGTGTTTCAGCATGCTTCTCCCTATGGCCTCGCTATGCATGAGTGAGAATGACGTCCTGACACTCCTGGGAAAGAATAGGAAGCAGAGGCCATTTTTTGAATTTTGAGAATAAACATTTCTCTGTTTGGTAGCTCCGATCAGCTATATTTTTTTCAATTTCACTACAACGAAATTCTCACTTCAACGAAATTTTTTCTGCGCTCTGTCAGTTTCTTTGTAGCGGGGTTCGACTGTAGTTGCAAGTAAGTTCTTGTCCTGTGTTTCTTTGAGTCTTTCCTCATGCTCTTCAATCACAACTATACCAAGTATCGACAAGTTTAGTTGTGAATGAATTTGGATTGTGAATTGTAGCCTGGCTTACACCACAATGTATTAGCATAGGATAGAGCTGTATGTAGTATCGAGATCATACATCTATCTCACACTACAGTCATTAATATATTAGAGCACCTGTCATTCGTGTAACTGCCACTTCATTAACTCCATACACCTTGATACTTATCCTTCTACAGCTAACTTAATAGTTAGCAGTAGAAGCCCTCCTATAGTTACCTTAAGACGTCAGCAAGGTCCCCACTTGCTGGAGTTGACTGCAGTTTACAAAAAATAAATGCCATCCCATCTTCACCAAATCAGATAAACTATAACAGCTCAATCACAACAAGGAGCAAAGTATGAACACTTCAACTGCTTTAACAAGGTTCATGGTATGTGAAACAGAAAGCTGAACCGACAAATGTGTAAAGATTGACATGAGTATAAAGATAGTACGGTGTGGAAGCTATCTTGGTGATGTCAACGTAACATTCTAGTTTCACTTTAACAGCGATGCATAAGCGATGCTACAGGGTGCGATGTTGCATTTTTGCTACAGCAACAAACACGGCCAGAAGTGATGGCCCCAGATGAGAAGCCGTAAGCCACAAGCCGCTAAAGGCAGAAGCACCAACACAGCCACAACAGGTGACGTGACAGAAGAGAAGATCAAGGAGATGACAGCACTGCATGACCTTCCCCAAGAATATTAGTTCAACACATTAAAGATTTAAAAGAACACTTAGAGCCAAAGGCTGTGCTTGCTGGTATTGAAGAGCAAAATACAGCAAGCAGTCAAAATGCACAACCAACTAGTCTTATCCTTAGTGCACTTGAACCACTAAGCCTTGTGAGTGAAAAAAAAAGTTCCGAACCTCAAAAATATGCCATAAACTGTTACATACCCAAAGTATACTATAATCACTGAACAAACTCTCCATGAAAAACAGCATATCTGCAAAGCTGTCAGGCATGCTTCAATACGACCACACACAAATCTCACACTGTGCAAGGAATTTTTGATGTCAAGCTACCACAGTAATGTGAAATGGGTCAATATTGCTTCACCTCTAAATTGCTTTTTGGAAGAAAACTTCACTGAAAATGTTGCGCACTAGGATTGTTTAAATGCGACAAACAGTATACAGAGTAGCCAGTATGGTCCTTCTGGACCATACAAAGAGCAGCTTTTGTCGTCACAAATTATCCTGTTGAAAGAAATTAATTGTGAATTATTACATGACATATCTTTGAATTATAAAATAGTGTAACCTTTATCAAAGGTTATCTTTATCTTATCAAAGAAGTTAAGGGTTGCTTACTTAACTGCAGCTCGAGCCGCAAGGCTAGATTGGCTAAAGTGTGCACTGGTAATATATTTCCCCACAATGGTCATTTCAGCTGAAAGAAAAATTGTGTGTCTTCAGGGTGACAGCTGTGCAGCAGTAATGCCAGCGGCACTGAATACTTAATTTTTAGTGTCATTGATATGTGCTCCCATGCAGAAATGTGCTCTTGAGTGCTTGATACATATGGCACTTTTGGTTTATAAAGTTTGCTGTGTGAGAACGAAAAAGCACAAGAGAGCCATGCATGGTATCTTTCACTCGGAAAGAACCTACAAGCATCTATACAGCCCCAAGCACTTTTCTATAAGTATATTTAAGTGACAGGTGATCACAGCAACTTTACCGCATTTTGAGAGTTTCTCTGGGCACCATGGTCACCACATCGTTTCAGCTTGTTTCTCAAGTTGACAAGAAACAGCCACGGTTTAAAACAGTTTTCTATGAATCCCACATGTGTCATGAAAAGAGAATTTATTAGTTCATAAAAATTAACTTCTCAGCAGGCATAAGCACTGCATTGTTCAAACAGGTGTGATTAAAGCTGTACTTTTACAAATAGTGTGAATGGAGTGCAAGTTACACGTAAAACACGAACATTATTTGAGTGCAAACTCCACTTGTGACTCGATATGAGAAGCATTAAGATTTAGCCTTGTAGGGAACACACTCTGTTTTTTCAGCCACTAAAAATTTTCTCTGTATTCGTAGTGCAGAATGTCGCCCATTTGTCTCAACAGAAAGACTTTTCTGTTAGCCCCTTGTCTGCATAGACATCTAGCGCTTGATTTCAGCCATTTTAACTATACTCCAGCTGTTCTGAGACATCTGCATGCTAACTAGCTATTTTGTGCAGTCATAAGGTGCGATACAATGCAACAATGCGTGGCTTATTCCCAGTCTTCATGAGCAACTGTAAAGTGTACGACGGAGCAACATTCGGTCACTTGTGCTCTCGCTCGACCTGTACAGGCCAAGATGTTTTTGTGCGGGAAGGAAGTGGTCAAAGTGGGTGCATGCAGACAGTACTTACAATGCGGGGCTTGAATGGTGGCTGCACCTCACGGTTCTCAATCTTGTCCCAATCAATGCGCCGGAAGAAAGGGTGTGTCCGCACATCTTCCTCGCCGGACAAGCCACAGCCCAGGCGCCGCGCCGGGTTCTTTGTCAAAAACTGCATACAAGGCAGAATGGCATTTTATGACGTGAACAGTTGCTGAATGATGACAGAAACTGGCGTAGTCAACCTTATTTGCTAATAAAACAAAGTTATTTATCTTAAATCAACCTGAAAGCACGTTCGATAATTTTGCTGTGGACCTATTTATGCCTTCGTCAATGTATTTTACTCGTGCAGTTATCTTATTGGAGGTAAAAAAACTAATAAACAATTGTTTATTTTGCTTCACGGAGACATGTATGCAATAGTAACATTTTCATACCTGCCAAGCATTTCTTGTTTGTAAGCCGTATTACAACCTGACTGATACAATCCTGCCTTATGTTCAAAAGCACCTGTTATGTTTATTTTCGATAATTGTTTTATTGTGGCACCTAGTTTGTTACATATATCCTAAAGCTGCATGATGCGCCTAGAATTACTATATAAAATTACCTGATGATGGCATAAATGTTGACTGCTATGATGTTGCCAATGAATAGACATTTCATAGGATGGGTTTTACGGGTTCAGCAGAACAACAACTATTTTAGAGTCACAGCATGTCTAGCTGTCAGTATTGTCATCTGGCAATGCGACACTTCTTTCTCATGTTTCGTTATCGCCCCATTACACTTATAAGTGCTCATTAGTACAAACAGCTTGTAATTCAATTGAAGGCTGCGGCGCTCTTTGTCGCTATCAGTGTCAGAGTGTATTGCTGTAATTGAACTTTCCATTTGGTGGCCACAAGTTCGGCCAAATAAACAGGTTCATCTTGGATATGCCGGTCGCTGCCTTTGTTAACACCACGACCCACGCGACAGTAGCAACAGGACTCATGAAATAAAAGGGACGAAGTACAAACTCTCTGCTCAACATTCACAAAAGCTTCTTTGTGACTTTTCATGTGTGGCATTGATACTATGCAACTCAATTTTTTTTACACGATAAATGGTACAAATTGGTTATGCACAAACATTTTAGTTATCCTCTGACACCTTACTATTAGTCAATTACAGGTTACGAAAGAAATATGCGGGAGTAAAAATACTTTTTGTGACATCTGTTATTGCATCTCAGAACTGAAAAGATCCACTAAGGTAAAACTCCAGCAGGATCATACATGCTTTACAGACTGGTTATTCAAAGGTTTCTTGTTGAGATAATCATTAACATGCTGTTCATTTTTTACAAGACTTATGCACCTCGAATGCAGTGGAAGTGCATAGTGGTTGGATTACATGAAACGAGATGTCATCAGCCTTAGTGGCTGCCGTGAAAAAGGCTTGTAACACCACACCCACATACAGTAAAAATTTTAGAAACTAAAACTGCCTACCAACAGCAAAAACAACTATACCTCATGGTGTTAAGAATTTCAGCCGTGGCTGTTTGTATCCGAACACTTGGCAGCTTTTGTGAGACATTTTAACTGGAGAGGTATGCCATTTGTCCTATGACCTACTTGTAGGTCACCTATAAATCATCATTTTATAGCAAAAACATACCAGCCAAAATATAAGTTTTCTATTGATTGTATTGATTGATTCTTCTTTAATTTTTTTCTGGCCTTCTAGTTTTTTCTGCAATACATCCTAGTGAATAAGCACAAACTTTTTTTGACGTCAGGCTGGCCTTGAAAAACAAGCCACTAAACTCATTTCTGAGAGCTGTGAGGCACTACTGAAAATTTGTGATGTTTGCCCACTCCCGATCAGCACACTTTGTATTTGAAGTTATTACTATTTGTGCTTCAAATTTACGCTTTAGCTGCAAGGGTGAAGCAACGTATCTGACTGCACCAAATAGGAGCATTATACGAAGTAAGGCTAGCAGCTAATTCTTTCAAAATAAAACCTTGCGTATGTGAACAAAATACTGGCATAATGAAACAGCGGCTGCTGCAATGAGCGAAACAACCTCTGTGCTGTGTACAACTTCATCACAAACTGAACGAAAAGATAATCCAACAAGCTATGAGCCATTTCTGATTACTATGACGATATAAGCGCTGATGCGCCCGTGCCCCTTCGAGCAAAGTGTGGAGTGCGCCAGAGCTACGCAGACACCCTCACAGTAGCCTCCTTGCACAATTTGTGTCCGCTTGATTCCTGTTGTTGGCTGCACTCGCACCCTTCTCTTCACACATAGAGCATACGCTGCTCAGGCCAATGTTACTATTTGAAAGTTTATACGAAACATCATGGCGGTGCCGACGGGCGACAGAAAAACTGGGATTGGATTGTTCATGTAACTGCTATCGCCAAGCAGCTTAAAATTTGTTGATATATTCTCAGTTCAACCGCATCATGAAAAAAACTTTGAAGTAAGTCATGGTACTATTTACAAAGTGTTCACATATTGTACTTAAGGTGTGAAAAGCCCTTCATTAGAGGCAGTGGCATGTTAAAGTGTCGGCAGTCCATCCTTCTGTGAAAGCAAGAATCATCATGCCTAGAGAGTCATATTGCAAGTTGCAACACGCGCGTGGTTATAGCGTTGGCACTAACCTTCTTCAAGCGAATACAGAAAAAGGTTTCTTATATTTTACTTTACCAGCTCTGTGAAGACCCCGAGTTTACACTAGAGGGCATTCATATAGCTTTTTATGCTCTTTGTGTAGATACCTGCATGTATGTCTGTATCAATAATGCACATAAATGCTGTACAAACAACTTGTACAACTTTTGCAATACAGGCATAGTTGCAGTAGCGAGGCACAATATTGCATTTAGCAAGTCTAGAATGTTGTGCACGATATAGAGAACAGAACATAGTAACACGGCTTGTTCTTGTGAATAGCAACAAGTTCCTGATATAACTGCAGTCTTTGAAACAGCTAGCAAGATACCCAAGTAATGTATCAAACAATTGCAGGTTAGTTCCTCCATGTTCTATGGTACCATTGACAATGCCTCAACTTGTGCAGTCAATATCATGATGGCCACACAATCTCCAGCTTAGCGTAAATATTATCGATATGACTCAATACAACAAACTTGCACCAAATGCAAGCTGCAAATGCAAGCTATAAAGTCGAAGCTAGAGAAGGGCATGAAAAATTTGTTTGAAAGTCAAGACAGGCAAAAAAAAATAATCCGAGATCGAATGTGAAAAATGGTTCAAACCCCTTTGCAGGCTTCTTTGGCTTCTTTGGAAAGAGCCTTTGGGTAGGACACATTGTGGTCCGTGATGGAGGCGAACAGTTCCTCCTCGTCCTCGCCATCGAAGGGTGGCTGTCCCACCAGCATCTCATATAGGAGTACCCCGTAAGCCCACCAGTCGACAGATTTCCCATACGGCTGGTAGAGGATGATCTGCATGCAAAATCCATGAATAAAAATTGATGTCAAGTTAGCGACGTCTGAAAGATTGATGAACTAGCATGGAATACAAAGTCACAAGGACAGTGCAAACACACTACTGTCAACTAAAGCCACTACCAGCCATTTAAAAGTTCTCACTGCAATTTCATCACATTTCCATGTTATATGACCCCACCTAAATGTGCCTTTTCCTAGGGGCAAAGTGCCATGTTTCACAATGAAACTACAATGGGAATTTTTTGATTGTGTGTGGTTGATAGGAACTACAATAAACTACAACCAATTTTTTTTGTGTGGCACAAAAATTGAGTCCCGTTTTTTGCAACCCCCTGTTTGTGCATTGATCCCCACACTACAGACATATCAATATAGGCACTTTTTTGGCATCCTTATATTTTTTTTGTACTGCAGACTGTCACCATACGATCGAAGTATATATCTTGAAGGGAAGCACTCAATAATTCATTCATTCAATAGCATTATGCTTAAAGTTTGGTGATTGGGGGCACTTCGGAGGTATGGGCATGTTATTATTACAGGTGACTGTTACAGTTTCGCTTCACACAGAAAACTGGACAAAGTGACAGACAACCCTCATCTTCGTCACTTCATCCAATCATGTTTTAGATGTGCACAATTTTTATCGGATGGATGTATTGTGGCAACCCACCTCGGGGGCGATGTAGTCAGGTGTGCCACAAAATGTCTTTGTGGTCTTGTCCCCCTGAATGCCTTCTTTGCACATGCCGAAGTCAGCAATCTTAATGTGTCCATCCTGGTCCAGCAGGACATTGTCCAGCTTCAAGTCACGGTACACGATGGAGCGTGCATGAAGGAAGAATAGACCAACAGCGATTTCGGCCGCATAGAAGACAGCCACGGGCTCCTTGAACTTTCCGCACTGCTGGATCTGGAACATGAGGTCGCCACCGTTGACGTACTCCATGACGAAGTAGAGGCGCTCCATTGTCTGGAAGCACGAGTGCAGCTGCACTAGGAAAGGGGGCTTGGACGCCAGCGCCAACACCCGCTTTTCCACCATGGCACACTCGACGTCGTCATCCTGGATGATGACGTCTTTTTTGAGGACCTTCACAGCGTACAGTTCGTCAGTGCCACGCCGCTCAGCTAGTAGTACTTTGCCAAAGCTGCCTTTGCCCAGGACGAGAAGGAAGTTGAAATCGGATGCTCGGATCACATCCTGCGTGGGAAGAAATGCCCAGTTTAAGACATTAACCTTGGGTCTTTCTCCTTAAGAAAACATGCCAGATCACAACCCACAAACACAAATGAGCATTGTTGTTGTAAGGTCACTTTACACACCAGATTATCTATACCTTCATTGAATCTGATTCATGGCAATCAATCTGATTAGTTTACATACATATACCGTATTTACTCGCGTAATCTTCGCACTCGCATAATTCTCGCACCCCCCAGATCGCCCAAGAAAAATACGATTTCTCTTTTTCCTCGAGTAATTATTGCACCCCCGAAAAATGCCGCAATAATGTCTGCTCGTTACAACCACTGATGATAATAGCATATGCCATCTGGCACCATCTCTTAAGCATCAAGCGTACTGTTATTGCATGGAGATTCAATCCAAGCCAAGCCAAAGTGGCAAGTGCACGTTGCGGCGTGTTTTATACGTTGTGTCGGTAATCTTGTCACATTATGGAGCGATACTGAAGCTACACGGCTGCTTTTAAGTTGAAAGTGATGGATCATGCCCTAAACAACGGCAACAGGGCCGCCAGAAGGCCTTTTGAAGTCTACAAGTTTTGTGTTCGCTACTGGTGACAGCAACTGAAAGCCACCAAGACGCGTTGGGCCTGCCGTGTGCCTAAAACTGGGATTGATGGTAAACTTTATTTCTTCAGCCATCAGCCCAATACTGACGTCCTATGCTTACCTTTCGAGGGCTTCTGTTGAACGGCCAACGCTACCCCTACGCCCGCAACGCCCACAAGCTTTGTGTATGATATTCTGATTCTCGACTATTTGCTAGCACTTTTTGTGTCTCAAATAAATCTTACCTTGTGTTGAACCTGTGCTTTTATTGTTGAGGTAGCTTTTAATTAGTACTTCTCAAAGCTTGGTGTTAGTTGCTGGTGTGAGAATCCTGATTTGCAGCCACTTCATTTTCTTTTTCGCTCTGTACATTTTCGTAGAAAGTTTTTCCCGAGTAATTCTCGCATCTCCCCCCTTTGCATCGCTTTTGTGCCAAAAGAGGTGCGAGGATTATGCTAGTAAATACAGTAATACAACATCAATGCAGAGTCACTGCTACTTTGCATCAGTGCATACAGTAACTGCACTGTTTACGGTAAGAGCTACCTAAACAGAGCATATAAAGTAATTCTAACTTAATGTATATTGTTATATCCCGACACCGGGCACATGGTATCACATCTTTATTACTGAGGCGTACACTGCCAGCCTCAACACAAGCAGTACAAAACAGAATAACTCCCTCCAGATACTGTGGACAGTATATGTACACACGCTATCTCTCGGCGCATGTGCAACTGGCAGTAGCTTGAGAGCATGCATACAAACCCCGCGACTGACGTCACAACACTTCCTTCACGCACAATTTTAGAAACTATCATAAGTCAAGCGCTCAGGTGGGCGCCGTTGCCTTGTGCTACGTCGTAAGGGAAACGGCTGCTCACGATTTTCGGGAAGTGAGAGTCTCGTGGGTGACGACGAATCTGAGCTTTGGTTGGTCGTCGATGTAGCATTTGTGATGTCCGATGCATGTGGTAGTTCCACTTCCGGTGGTGGGTCCTGTTGTGCCGTCGGTTCGATGTCCGATGGTCGCAAGTGGTCCGCGTGCACAAACCGCACTTTGTTTTGCACATACACTAAATACATCGAAGAAGATTTCACACACGTCACTTCTCCAGGCCACCAGTTCACAAGTTGCCCACGCACAGAACGCACCAGTACACGATCACCAACAGCAAACACTCGAGGTGAACCTCGGAGCCTGTCAGCAGACTTTATTTCTGCGGTCTTAGCTCTCATCTGATTTGTTACGTCCGGGCGTAGCAGCGACAATCGGGTCCGCAGCTTCCTTCTCACAAATAATTCAGCAGGGGTTCTTCCCGTGAAAGTGTGAGGTGTGGTTCGATAACAAAACACGAAGTTATCTATCCTGTGTTGCAGTGTTCTGTTTGTGCCCTTTTCCGAGTCTTCTAGCACTTGTTTGAGCAGTGCTTTTTTTGTTGTCTGAACTGCGCGCTCCGCCGCACCGTTAGACTGCGGATGGTACGGCGGCGTTAGTGTGTGCCTCACACCATTAGCTTGAAGGAATTCTTTGAACTCAGTTGCCCGAAACTGCGGCCCGTTGTCCGTCACTACCTCGAGCGGAAGGCCATGCGCCGCGAACCATGAACGCACTACTTCAATGGTCTTCGCCGCGGTGGTTACACTCATTATCTTAATTTCAAGCCATTTGGAATAGGTGTCGATAGCGAGGAGAAACATCCTTCCCTTTTCTTCAGCGAAGTCTAAATGCACACGCTCCCACGGATTCTGGCATATTTGCCACGAGGACAAAGGTACGGGTTGAGCTGCAGGGAGAACCGTTTGGCATATTGCACATTTGCGCACTGTGTTTTCGAGGGCTTTGTCCATTCCCGGCCACCATACTACTGACCTCGCTAATGCTTTCATTCGGGTTATACCTAAGTGCTGCTCGTGCAGCAACTGCAAAACATTCTTGTGCAATGATTCCGGTACTACCACTCTGTTTGTCCATATAACGCACCCGTTGTCTACACTGAGCTCGAGCCGGCGTACCCAGAACGGCTTTAGCTGCTCCGACACGGTCTTGGGCCATCCATGCCAGATCATGTCGCGTACAGCCCTCAGCACTTTATCGCATCCTGTTTCTCGACTGACATCATTTGACGTTAAAGGCAAGTCGTTTAGTGCTGAAAAGTAGAAGATTTCTTCGCACTTGCTACCTGTGTCAGGTAACGGTAAACGGGACAATGCGTCTGCATGCTGGATAGCTGATCCTGGTTTGTGTTTGATTCTATAGGTGTAGTCGGCCAAAAATGTCAGCCAACGATGCACTCGTGCCGTGGCTACTGCACTGCCCTGCCGTTTAGGGTCAAACAAAATTGTCAAAGGTTGGTGATCCGTTATTATGTTAAAGGGCCGTCCGTAAAGGTACTTATGAAATTTTTTTTACAGCAAACACAATACTAAGTGCTTCTTTCTCAATCTGCCCATAGTTACGTTCGGCCGCTGTTAATGACCGCGAAGCAAAAGAAACCGGCTTTTCCTCACCGTTCAAGTGCGATAGCACAGCCCCTAACCCGTAATCAGAAGCATCACATGTGATCCAGATTTCTTTTTTTACGTCATACAACTGCAACACAGTCTTATCAGTCAACAGTTCTTTGCATCTTTCGAATGCTTCATTACATTCGCGTGACCAGTGCCATGTAGTTTCTTTTCGCAACAAGTTGTGCAGCGGTTCCAAGATCGATGCTAAATTTGGCAAAAATTTTCCGTAGTAATTAATCAAACCTAAAAAGGCCTTCAACTGACTCACGTTAGTGGGCCTTGGCGCTTTTCTGATAGCTTCAACTTTTTTCGCTGTTGGGTGTAAGCCGTGCTTGTCGATCTCGTGTCCCAAGTATGTGACGCGTTGCTGAAAGAAGCTGCATTTCCTTGCGTTCACTTTTACGCCGTGTTTACTTAGGCGTTGAAGAACTTGCTCCACCCTTTCATAACACTGCCCGTCGTTCTCACCAGCGATGACTACATCATCAATGTAGCACGCGGTTCCAGGCAGATTACGCAGTATCTGGTCCATGACCGCCTGGAAAATAGCTGGTGCGCACGCTACGCCATACGGCAAGCGGCGGAATCTAAACAGACCTAGGTGGGTGTTAATAGTGAGCAGTTCCTGTGCTTGTTTGTTTAGTTCGAGTTGCAAGTACGCTTTTGAGAGGTCTATGATAGAAAACACAGTTCCACCCTGAAGATTTGCGAATATGTCTTCAGGAAGTGGCAAGGGAAACTGATCGACCTTGATGGGTGGGTTTACTGTGACGCGATAGTCGCCACATAATCTCAGTTCTTGCGTGTTCTTTTTTGGAACAATCACAAGAGGCGTTGCCCATGGACTATGTCTGACCTTATATATGACTCCAGCTTTTTCTAGCTTGACCAATTCTTGTTCAACGCGCTCGCGCAAAACGTATGGCACTGGTCGCGCTTTCATAAAGACAGGGCGCACGTCATCCTTCAATTCAATGCTGCATTCGAATCCCTTAATTGCACCAAAACCCGCGCCAAACACTTCGGGAAATTTCTCAGCAAGCATTGCCTCCTTAGCCACCACATTTACTGAAAATACTTCCTGCCAATTTATTTTGATTTTAGAAAGCCAATCTCGGCCAAACAACGTGGGCATTCTAGCACCCTGCGTTTCTTTCGCTATGACAAGTGGCAGTTCGAAACACTGGTCTTGGTATTGCACCTTTACATCCATAATACCAACAGTAGGGACCGTCGTGCCATTGTACGTGGCTAGTTTGACATTTGCTTGCCTGCAAGAGGCGTTTGGGAAGTGTTTAGCATACTCTGTTTCTGACATTATTGACACCGCTGCGCCCGTGTCAAGTTCCATGGGTATCACTTTATCATTTATGCAAACCTTGATTACAATGGCGGGCATACCTTCTTTATGGTTCGTATTATACAGAGATAGCAGTTCGTTAGTATTTTCTTTCTCGCATTCTTCGCTCTCTACTCTATTTACAAGCTTAGATTTGCACATTTTAGCAACATGACCCCTTTTTGTACACCTATAACAGGTACTGTTCAGAAATCGGCAACTCACGGGTGAATGCTGTCCTCCGCAACGATGACGCATTCTTTTCGTTTGTTCTTTCGCTGCCCCATTTTCTTTGTCCCAGCTGGACTGCGTCGGCACGTCCCTCGAAGGTGCTTTACTCGGTTGTGAGATTTTCCGTTGCCAGTAGATGTCCTCCGTTTCTACAGCTGCTCCTTTAGAACTGGTTTGCAGCATTTCTTTCGTGTCTTGTGTTGCCGCTTCCATGGCCATGGCTACGCTGCATGCGCGTTCCCACGTTACTTCCTCGTCTGGCATTGCCAATAACCTGCACCGTACTCCCTTGGTACGTATTCCAGCGACGAGCCGGTCACGCAATGCTTCGGTCAAAAAGGCATCGAATTCGCATGTTGCCGCGAGTTTCTTCAATTCGACTATAAAGTCTGCGACAGTCTCATGCGGCTCTTGCTTTCGCTGGTGAAAACGATACCTTTCGGGGACCACGGAGCGCTTGGGAGCGTAATGCTTCTTCAGAACGTCAACAACTTCCGTGAATGACGTCTTAGCTGGTGTTTTAGGCAGCAGCAAGCTCCGAAGCGTGACGTAGGCCTTCTCACCTATAGCCGTGAGAAAGATTGGAAGCTTCTTGTCTTCCGCGATGTCATTGACCGCGGCAAATACTTCGAACCGCTCCAGGTATACCTCGAAGTTACCGTCCTCTTGTTGGAACTCGGGTAACTTACCGACAGTGGTCGCCATACTCAGTTCAAGCTGGTTAGAGTGGGATTCCTAGAAGCCTGCGGCGGATCCCATCCTCGTCGCCAGTTGTTATATCCCGACACCGGGCACATGGTATCACATCTTTATTACTGAGGCGCACACTGCCAGCCTCAACACAAGCAGTACAAAACAGAATAACTCCCTCCAGATACTGTGGACAGTATATGTACACACGCTATCTCTCGGCGCATGCGCAACTGGCAGTAGCTTGAGAGCATGCATACAAACCCCGCGACTGACGTAACAACATATATTAATGTGTAATCGTTTAGCAACAAAAGCTATTTAGGCCATGTTTCCGACATGATAGCACACTACCACACTTATCCAAGCACTAAACCCAAGCTGGGCTGGTACACTAGGTACGCCCACTCCGATTTCCATCCTTTAGTTTAGTAAATCATCCGGCACAGAGATGCAGTGTATTCAAACACTTCACATTCTCACCTGCTTGCCCATGTTGTGTGGTATGAGGTCCGACGATGCTTGTGGTGTGAGCCGCGGCCTCGTCGTATGGTGCGTTGTCCCCGGTGCAAGCGCCGGGTTCTCGGGGGGCACGGGTACGTTGTAGAACTCGCCTTCCTCGGCCGTCAACAGCTTGAACCAGCCTTCGGCGGGTGACTTGAGAATCTCCGAGATGCCAAATGATAGAGAGCCCATGAAGTCGTTGCGAGACGTTCGGTCCCAGTCCCAAAGCTCGATCAGTAGTCGCCGGTCTTTGTCGATGGGTTTCAGGTCGCTGTAGTCAAGCGAAATTGATAATTGCGCATTGCTGCTATCAAACTGAAGGAAAATGCTCATGTCAAACTAGGAACTATATGTAGTGTATTACAAACAAGCAAGCCATTTACAAAAATGTGCATTACACAAGAGAAAATTTGCGAATTAGACACTAGGAGGGGCCATGAATTGTGTTGTGAATGGGACTATGTGGCTGCTTACAATTCCAAGCGTGCCTAACACACTAGGCCATTAAGAGGATCTGCTTCAATCACAACTAAATAAGTGGGCATCTTCATGGTTCAGCTAAAAGCATGATTTGTTGAACACAGAGCAAAAAAGAATGTAGAGGTAGAACAAAAAAAATATTGAGAATGTTTCAAGGCTATCTCTGGCTATATTTTTAGCATAGCAAATAGCGATCATGCGATACTTTTTAACATAGCAAACGGCGATTATTTGCTCCCGACACCAAGACACTCCTGTCCCGAATTGAACTTGAACATGCTCAGAGGATTTAAAAATAATTTTCAATGACAAAAAAAACCCCCACAAACTGCCATCGCATGCCCTGTACAGGGACAAAAGGCTCGAAATCTCGCAAGGAATCTGAGCATAACAGGCGCAGAGGAGGAAAGCTGTGAAAGCCGCTAAAAGCAAACCTTCGCCAGAAGCGTACCACACCTCAATATTCGTGCAATGTCTTTAATTGACATTAAAATGTTTCAGAAGTGCTTGTCTACAGCAAGAACTGAAAAGTGCACAAGCGCAAACATTACCTAACAGTAACCTTTTCTGTAAAGTATGCCACGCATATAAAATTACAGACTATTTGATAGACTCAATATAATATAGAATGCTGAACAAAACGGCATCAGTTCATGCAGGCCACGCTAAGGAGATCTTCGTACTCGCATTGTACTTAATAAAGTGAAATTTTATGGCATTGTATTCTTATGCACCAAATTATTCTTTATACATAACTATTTTAATACACTGCAATGTCTTAACATCAAAGGGAAAACCTGCATGTATACAATGAACCCGAAGGTTTGAAACACATCATAGATGGGCAGTGTGAAACACCCCGAGAAGGTGGCTTTTCCCCTTGCGTTCAGGAGCAGGAGTAGTACGAGTACGAGCGAGTAGAAACTATCGCTTGCCATTGCATACTCTCCCCCTCAACCACTTGCCGCCTGTACTCGGCCCGCTGTGGGCTGTCGTAGTTTTATTCTGCACTCGTTTTCTTGCCGTGAAAGTGCAATTGTCTTGAAACACAAGAATCTACTCTCTTCCGAGAAATAGGACATTGCCGCAGCCTACAAGTCCTAAAGTGAGCGTTTACAACGATAGTAAAGAACACAGCCGAAATTCCACCCATGGCAAACATGAGGTTTTTTGGCAATCGAAGAGTACACAATGCTACGGTATGACGTTTTTCTGAAGCGCGGTTTACGCTGCCTTCAGTATAACAGGGCTCCACACGTAACCTGTGCCCTAAACTACATACCACAAAATAACACATAACTACAAAAAGAAATCCCCTGTATTACCACTACACCCCCTTTATACACCCCCTTTTTGTTTTTAGGGTAATGCCCCGAAGCCACCATCAAGCCAAAATTCGCACCAAAGATACAGCAAATTGTACAAAAGCTTGGATGAAGACAATTCAGCGCAGGCCAAGGTAAAATATATTCTTCAAAAGACGTTTGAGCTCCCACACAGCAGCCTTGTTCATTTTGTTCACACAAGTGTAAGGTTTTTCCGGCGAAGCGGGATAGCGCCAAACTATCGACTTGGTGTACAAAAGTTTATATGGAATTCTACACTATTGCAAACTAATTACATTTGTTTTTCTCTCACTCTGAATAATATATGTGCGGATTAGGCTGCGTAAGCTCAATTATGACACGAATGCTTGCAACTACGCATTCATGAAACAGCTCACAAGGTCAGTGTCTCGTTCCACTCGGGGTTGAGGCAGGCCTTGATGGTCTTGGTCTTCCGCTTGGCCGAATCGCCCATGTCGGGGATCAGTTTGAGCTTCACGTAAGGATCGGACAGGCCGTTGGGGTCCATTGGAATCAGGTTGCGTGCCTGCCGTACTGCGCAAAACAGGAGAGCTCTGAGTACTCGAACAGAGCACGTGCGATATGAACGATGCCGCAATATTTGCACGAATAAGCTACTTGGTACGACAGGTGCCTTATCTGAAATGAGTCGTGAGAAAAGATTTGGAGACACGGATTCCCTGTTCTTGACCCAGAAATACAAAGTATGGCCGCCATGTCACCGCACAAACAAACTGGGTGCGAAGGCACCGGTTAGAGTAACAAAAAGGCGCAGGCGCCTTCTCTGTCAACGAGGCTAAATGGTGTCACACATTCGTGCTTGGGAAATGAGAAAGGGGCAATTGACCGACGGGTCGTCTGCTTGTTCCGTATGACCTAATCAAATGAACAGACAATGGTGCTGAGAATGATATCAGAGGCATTACTCGTAGCTGATTGCTGAGGTATATTAATTGTGGCATATATATGGAAAAGAATTAAAAACTTGAAGAAAAATCCCCACATGTAAGTTGATGCGACTTGAAACTTTCGGATAAGCGAAGCTGTGCAAGGTCACAGCAACCAAAGCGAATGTGAAATCTGCCATGGCTAGTTAGTGCAGCAATGAATGTGCGAAAGATAGGGGCCGTTAGTTAACTGGGATGTCCAGCAAAACTTGTTTTCAGAACACCTGCTGTATTCTGCAGATTTCAATTGGAAGGAACAAACAATGCAGGCATTAAAAAGTAGATGAGTCAGATGGCCCAAGAACAACGCATTGTGAAAATGACGCATTCTATTGTGGGGGACTTGGGAATAATTTTGACAACTTAGGATTGGTTACTTGCAGGTACGCCTCAGTACACAACTGTTTCAAATGCAGCCTTCGCTGGATTGCCGTCGCCTTGGCCCTGACCTTAACCTGCGTCGTCTAAAAAGGCAGCGTAGACATGAAGCTGCTACGGCGTGTGTGAAAGGCAGGAATGCAAAAATATAAAACTCGAGCACAAGAACAATTTATTAGTGCAACAAAAGATCTACATGAAAGACCTTACAGTGGCAAAGAAAAAGCAAAATTTAAAACAGATGCCCATATGCACGAGACCGTGTGCCAACCAGTCAGTCATCAACACATATCGATGCTTGCTAGAAGTAACTGTCTATCCATCATTATGTGTACACTCAGTGCCAAAAGCTTAAAGGGCCACTCACCAAGTTTGACAATTTTGAACTGACAAGCGCAATGCGTGGACGAGGCGTTCATAATCATGTCTTCCAAACTTTGCAACGCTAGGCGCCGCGGAAATGGGTCAAATTTCAAGATGAAAGCTGCTCCCTCTCCCCTCTGCCGGCGCAGGCACAGAGAATGAGGGCATGACGTAGACGTAGGAATGGCCCTACGTACACGGCAATGCAGTGACATTGGTCCTCTACGTAGACGAGTCTGCTCTGACGTTATCAACAGTATACCACGTGACATGGCAAAAATTATTTAACACGACCTGCACAGTTTATGTATTTGTTGCTTTAAAAGATGAATAAAACTTGAAATAAATAATGAGACGCAATAAAAAATTGCGTGCGTTTTTCTTTCATTTTTTTCCATGAATTCTACGAAATGCGGGGCTAATGTGCCAGGGTTGCGAATGCGTTCCGTGTCTCCCTGGTCAGCGCAGTGAGCAGACGACCACCGTGGAACGCTTCTACGCACTCACGAACTCATTGCGCTCATGTACTCTACTGCGTCTAAGCCAGCGTTTACAAACCATCCCGCAGAAACAGGCAGAAGTGAGTAAACAACTTTATTCACTTCCTGCAGGTTACCGGGCTGGGTTCCCACCTAGGAGATGGTTGAGAGACCATGTCTCTCAGCAGCTTCTTTGGCCTGCTGGATCGCAGAAGGCCACAGAATAACGCTGGTCAATAAAGCAACGGTGCTCGCGTGCTCGGGGGCTGGGCTTGTGCGGCACGTCATGCGCACGTCACCTCTTGGTCGGATGCCGGAGAGGGTAGGGAAAAGATTTGGCTTGCGAAGGCTACGCGGAGGAGCGGCAAGGGTTTCAAGCTCGCCTCCTCTCACCCTCGTTTCGCGTCGCCTCAAAAAACCTGTTTTCTCTGCTCGTAACGAACAAATTCAAAAAATTTTTGTGGCAAAACGTTCCTCATCGGACACCCAACAACTTGCACTGTCTAACTAAAATTTTGCATGGGGCCTGGTGAGTGGCCCTTCAAGATCAACCACAAGCAAAAGCTGCGTATTACTGATGTTTCGGTAGGCAGACGAGCTTAGAATTTTTTTTATTGCAACATAGACTTGCCCACAAAGCATAATATTTTGTGTGTATATATGTGTATTAAATGTGCGCCATTGCGCTGGGTATAGTTTATGAAGTGAAGTAGTGTCTTGTAGAACGTGTTGTGTATCAAGCGGTTATAACTGATTGTGTCGCAGTTGCGAAGGCCAGTTTGTGGAAGCAGAACAGTTTGTGGATGCAGAAGAAGTTTTGGATTCCGGCATTTTTCTAAAACGCGTTAACATGTGCTGTGCGGTTCGGCCCCATCGTTGAATTTCTTAAAACTTTTTTGTTGTCTCAGAACTAGAAGACTAAGTTGTGAAGCTGACGATGTATGTTTGCAGATTTATTTTTTCCCATCATAAATGCCTACATCAACTCCTTCAATACAGAGTATTGTAAACATCATGACGTTTACATGGGGGACATCATGCATTCCTGCAGAAATGCAAAAGAATACAAGCCGAGTTTAAGACGCTGAGCTAGTTAATGTCTTTGCACCACATTGGGTCGCTATATGTAATATACTGCCTGGTTTAGAGCCACTCTTTTCAAACAGATCATGTGTAACAAACGCGCAACGTACCTTCACAGGTAAGCCGCGTAGGGGTTGCCGAAACCTTGAGGTGAATGCGCCCACGCCGTTCGGTGTGGTCACAGCCACACAGGTTCGGCACACTCTCTTGGCACCGTTTGTGTACATTCATGTCGCACGCTGGGTAAAAGAGAAATACGAATTGTTGTTAGGCGCCCTTTCACAAGCTCTAGCTCTTCGCAACGAGGCAGGTACAAAAAAAGCATATGAGCCGCATGATGAGACAACATAAAACATCGAATACATTTGGTAGCCGAGTTTGCAGGATGTGTGTTTAGGTTTATTCAAATGTTTGTCAAGAAACCGCTAAATGCACTCTGGTTAATGCATAGGGAGGTGTCATGAAGGATAACAATTAATGTTGTATTTGTCAATAGTAGACAAGCATCGGAAGAGGCAGAACAACACTGAACGTTGCAAAAAAAAAACAATGCACCATATTTTTATTTTATTTTGGGATTGCAATAAGTGATGAAAGAGAGTGTAAGAATATGATGCTTCTTTTTTTTTCAAACTGACACCTCGAATTTAACCGCGCGACAACATAATAAAAAAGGCTTTTCAAAATGACAAATTCTTTCCTTTTCTTTTGTGGGTCTTCCTTGCCAATGTTTTCAAACATCCACGCAAACGAACTCGCTATTGGTTTTACCATTTAGTGCGATACGTGCTGACATCTGCAACATTGTGCCAAAGTGCAGAGAGGCAGCCACGTGACCGGTCACAGTTGAAAAAAGGGTGAAATGCCATCGATGAGCTGGGATAGTCCCAGTCTGTTTTTACTGGATCACCTAGAATGAACCCATCTCGTACATGTCCCTGAAGGGGGCATTATAGCAATAGAGAGGTTAATTTCTACAAATTTATCAGGTTCATTGTCACAAAGCAACACCAAGGCTATAGAGAGCGAAGGCTCCAGGAAACTAAAACCGCAGTGATTTCTCGAAGAAATATTTATGCATAATGTATGCGGACATACATACCAGCAGCTACAGCAATTGAGCAGCACTGACAATTGAGAGAGTTAGTACCGATGCATGAATTCAGAACAGTATTACAAAGCAAACAAAAAGATAAATGATCACATGAACACAAGCACTTGGGTTCCTGTGATCATTTACCTTACCATTTGCTTTGTTGTGCCATTCTAAATCGATATAGACTGAGCCACCACACTGGTTATCATGACTATATCCATTAGCGAAGCTGGAGCACAGAAACAGAAAGGATCCGAATAACACATGCTAGCTACACAGAGTAGATCTATTAGATGCCACACCGAAGCCCACAAAACTCACCTTTGCATTTGTAGCCCTGATGGATGAGACCATACAAGAGCGAGCCACAGTGGTCGCAGAAGGTTGGACTTGTGTACGTCTGCAGCACGAACTGGTGCTTTGTTCGTGCATCCTGAAAGACACATGCCGAATAACATGTCTATTCTACCAGTTTTAAGAGCAACTGGAATATATGCGCAGCTCTAACATTCTTCTTAGCTGGAAAGGATTGTGTATACTCATTTCTCTATTTCACCATTCTATACCATTGTTTTTTTTGCTCCTCCTTCCCCTCCCTTGGTGTAGTGTAGCAGGCTAGAGTATGCTATCACTCAGGCCGACCTCTCTCCCTGCCTTTCTATAAATACCCCCCTCTCTCTTTCTCTCTCTCTCTCTCTCTCTCTGTGTACTCTACTAGGCCCATTTCTCTCTGCGCAGGGATGCGTTACGTATCCGACATTGCTCTTGGAAGCTGTATCATTCGCTGCACACAGCAATACAATCTCAAGTGGACATTATGCTGTTATGCTGAGACGCTGTTATGCTTTGCACCATGGCCACCTGTATACTAATTAGCGAAAAAGCTACATATTAAGTGCACCAGACCTTCAACTATTGCCCATTTTCTGGCGTATTATGTAGTGCATCAGAAAAAAAAAAGAGGATTGTACTACCTTGAAGTCAGTCACAACCTTGGTTCTCAGAACACAAAGCATGTGATAGGATGTGAATGTTTTTAATATCAGCCGCCATATTATTTTTGCAGGTTTAATTATGTGTGGATAAATAACCTTGTAAGCAGTTAAAACCTACAGTTTAAATGTTTACACTTGGGTATCAGGACTTAGCCCACGCGTCTCCATGTAAGAAGGTACAAGCCATCAATGGAACAAGGATTACAAATTTTGCAGCAAATGCTGAACCTTTCCAATACCATTTTGTCTGTCTCAGGCAGTAGTGAGCAAACAAATACCCTAGCAGTACAACAGTGCCAAACCTTGTTCACAAGCAACATACACAAGAGCTCTAGAAACTGAAATATCTTTAGAATAGGTACAGTAGACTCGGCAAATGAAAATCTGTTGAATTGAACTGCTGCTAAAACGAAACAGGTGCTTCCGGCAAGATGGTTTTATTCTTGTATTCTGCATCCTTGTTCAACTCTCGGCAAATGAAATACCTCTTAAATGAAACATATTGTCATGGTCTCTTCAGGTTTCGTTAAATGAGAGTCTACTGTACATTCCACAAGCTGCATGCATGGTTTGCACAGTACCTGTGGTGCCAGACATCATTACTCCCTGCAAGTTAATCGTTATACTGTGTGCACCTTTTAATCGTCACACTGTATTTATCTCTATCAAACACTATCACCTCAGTTCCCGCGGAGTGCTCCTTGATATCTGCTTAAACAAAAACCAACCACCTTATGTGATATAAATCGGTGGAAGTACGGGCTGATGCATCTCATGATTTTCAATATTTTGTATACAATGTGCCTTGAGTATTTCGTTCATGTCAACATATTTGCTTCAGCATAGAAATAAACCTAACCTTCCTATATTGTTGTTACCACTTGTAATTCACCACTGAGTAATCAGCTGTATTTTGATTTCGCACATCGTGCCTGATTTTATAGCATTTTGCAGCAATTCGTTTGTAGAGTACATATCCATATCACATACAAAACACTTTTACGCATTAAGTATACTTCACACGCCGCTGGAACATGAGTCATTGTACTCATTTGTTTGCCTGCAGTTTATTCCAACCAGCTTTAAAGTATTCAAGCAACAGGACAACAAATCAGTTTCAATGCGCCTACTTACGTCCGAGTCGACGCCCTTGTCCTTGCCTGGACACTTGAACGTGACGAATTCGTGGCATCGCTTGTGCACGACAAAGCTGCATACTGCAAAAAGGCAAAAAAAAAAAAAAAACACATACGTGGAGTAAAATGATTAGTGGGGCGAAGTGTCCGTCCGTCCATCCGTCTGTGGATACGGCGTGCTGGCTACATTGGAGAGATAGACTACCCTAAACAATAAGGAGCTTCAGGAGCTTCTCCTTTAAAAAAAAAATTATATGGCCTGAGAACATTGCGGTCCTTATTTACACTGCAGCTTTTTTTCTTCAGTGTAGACAACACCAACATACTATGTACTGCTTATGGGGCACCTACGGCTCACAGCATGGAAATAAACTGAAATGAGTGCGCCGCATTGCGACTCCATCTCTAGAACACCCTCGAAGACGCAAAGTATTTCACCTATGAAGGCATCAACAACCTTAAAGCGTACACTGGTTGAATTGAATAAGTTGTTGCTGGCTATAACATACAGACTCAAACAGGGCTGCACTTTATTTGCAGTTTCGCTACAGTATTGCTCTTAGACGAGACCGTACGTTTTAGTCTGCTTTTTATTGACTAAGAGGACATATCAACATGTTTAAATTCATATACACAAGCCCTTTCCACTAATGTGAATACAAGACTTCTGATAACTGCCTCATTCACTCCTTTATACATGCTGCATGTTTGCCTTTTCGTCCTTACCCTTACTGCCACTTAAAAACGGCCTCGCGAGCACATCCAGCAACCATGCAACCTTCCATGTCATCCATGATATTTGAAAGTGCGGTTACTTTCAAGCCTAATACTATTACGATGACACCTGAGGCCACCCACCAAGTACACAGAAAAAAAAAAAAAGGGTGCAGGAGGGGCAACCTGTACAGTGGGCGACCTTTCATTGTATTCTTTTTTTTAAATTTTGGGCTGAGATGTGCTGCATGCAGCATTTATGCGGGTGTAGGCAGTAATAACAGCCCGCCACGGCACTATATATAGAATACAGGGCAAAAACATTGCCGGCATGCAAAACAGACACCATCAAATTGGGGAGAACGCACAATAACTCCTTTTTTTTTTTTATAAACATCACAGTTTCTGTGGGGAAACCAGGAGAAACCACTGCAAACTATTGCATTCTAGACATACATAATTAATTGTTGCAGGTATGTATACTACATAAGTCAAAACCAGAGTTGAAAAAACAAATTTTTGCACTGTGGCAATATATAATTCATCCTACTTGGCACCAAAGGCATGCCCAAATATGTGTGATGCAATAAATTAGGCTGTAATTAACACTATCACTTGTCCTTGGTGGCAGCTAGCTCTCTATAATGAGCAACGCTGTTCTTGTAATGACTATATCAGACCCACCAATGAAGACAATGTGCGTGCATAATTTCTATAGCATATGCACATAATTTTCAAATATGCATCAAATGTTTCTTGCCCCAACGTGTAACCTACAAAATTTATTTTTCATTGATCCAATTTTAGGCATTCTGCCCTTGGTGAAAAAAAAAAGTAAACTCTTCGTTGAATGGCATATTACAATAAAACTTGTTCTGATTAGACATTTTTTTCACCACAAAATTAAAGTGCCAACGAGTTTTTGGCATACTAAAGAATGTAATATAGCATTTCAACTACTAAAGAAAGTCCTCATGTTGCATTTCAAGTGGGAACTCTTCAAATAACCCTGAAATATATGACCATTTGGCAATATTTAGTTCTTAATTGATGTTGCATTCTAAAAAGTTATGTTCGAATTCTGGAAAAAAAAACCTTATACGTAAAAATGCACAGAAATCGCAGTATAGTACAGCTCACACAGAACTCGCAAATTATAGGAAATCTCAATGACCTGAGCAAAAACACTTGCACTGAGAACGTCAGTTACGTATAGTCTTTACTAAAGGCAGTGCACAACTTAAAAAGACATTTCTGCTTTGCCTAGTGCCATGGTGGTCAGAAAAACTAATCTTGCGAATCGAAACATGAATCTCATTTGTTAATTTTATTATATGGCAAGTTTTTATGCATAGATGACAAGGGTATAGGTAGCAGTCTCCTAACAATTAATTGTAACAACATGTAAAAGATTCACCAATCGTAACACAACTTCAAATGTGCGACTTTTCTTTCTCAATGAAATAATTGGCCCTACTTACCATACAGGGTAAACCACCTAACCCTAGCCAGAGTATATAAAAATATATTGATGCACTTTAAGACAGTGTGAGCACACGCTTGTGGCTCACATAAAGGAACAAGCAAGTTCGCAGGTTCAGTCCCTGCTGGAGGCACGTTATTTTTTCGTCCACTTTTCTTTGTTCACATTTGCATTACAATTACTTCTATTATCTCTTAGTTCCCATTAATACTGTCTAACAAAGAGAACGAGCTCCTAAATTTACACTTTCCTTCACGCAATATTTCTTGGGTTCTACCTAATCACCAATTGAGGAATGGTATATAAACAAACGTTTGTAGCAACAATGCTTCGCAACGTTCCAATAATTCCGAAGCTAAATTTTTAGATTGGTAAGCAAAACATCCGGCTAGGCAGCTTTTCTCTTCCCGTCTATTAAATAGTAGTACTTTTTTATTTACTACCGACGCCCACAAAATGCAAAACTAGCCGTTGTTCCATATAGGAATGCCACTGATGAGCCAAGCTCCTTAGAAATGAAACACAAGGGACTATATGCCTTATCTTGCTTTTCGGAAGGTGGTAGGGTGGGTAGGCAATGGGAAGAGCATGGAGAGTGGGGTGGGAACAACTCAGCCAGCTCAGACAACGCACCAACCTCTGGGCGAATGATGTTTTGGCACGTTTGCCGGTTTGAGGGGAGAGGGAGGAGACAAAGAAAGAAGGAGAGGGAGCTTATTCTGCCTCTGTATCACATGCGTTCGTATTCTTACGCTTTGCGTATCGTGCAGTCACCATACGCGTTCCAGCGCTCATAAAGCTCATTTACCCTTTTGCATGAGGTGGAAACCCACAGCTGGCACCATACCAGGGAGATTCGACGGCGGGGGGCGGGCCTAAGGAGCTTCGCTTATAAAAGAAAGAACTATCGACCATCTCGCCAAAGAGAACCCTGGTGGGATGCTAAGCAGCAGCGGTGCGCACGGGGCTGAACCGGTCAAAACGGGCGTCGACGCGGGTGCTGGAAGAACGGTGTGAAGCGAAACTCGCGGTAGCGTTTACTCGAGTAAACATTTGTTTGAAACGCAAAAACACGGGAGGCTGGACGCGTTGGAGACCCTTGCACTCGGCTTCCTTGGCTCCCGTCTCGTCGGTGTTACCCGCGCGCCGTCCGTATTCTCGAACGCGATCGGTGTTCTTGACTCGCACCTCGTCGGTGTCACTGATCTTGCACTGCCGACGCTTCCGTTCGGCTTCCCCGGCTGACGCCTCGTCGGTGTTGACGTCGCCATTCGCAAACGCGATCGGCTTTGCTAGCCCTCACAATGCCGGAGACAGCAGGGAAAAATACGCGCGCACTAGCAGGAAGCGTGCCGCGACGGAGTCCCGCCCGTCGGCGCGATCATCCGGCAAGCAGCGGCGCGCTAATCACATTGTCGGCAGCACGAGATTCTCGAGGCGCGCGCAGCGCGGGCACCCACCGGATCGCGGCTTCTCACCGACAAATGGAGAGAGGTGGCGCGGGTTAGTTGATGCCCACCTGAGTAGTGGGCTCGAGCGTTGCGAGCAGCGGAGAAGGCGAAGCGAGACAGAGCTGACACGCGGCGAGCACGCGGTGACACCGCGCCAACACCTGCTACGATGGAAGCGGTGAGAACGGAGGGACAACATTACACAGGCTCGTCAAGGAGCTGCTTCGCATTTAAAATGCCAAATGGCAGCTTGGGTGCTTATGGACGCCAGGATTTCAGTGCTTTCCCAATGTTTTGTGTTCTGATGATTGATTGATTGATATGTGGGGTTTAACGTCCCAAAACCACCATATGATTATGAGAGACGCCGTGGTGGAGGGCTCGGGGCATTTCGACCACCTGGGGTTCTTTAACGTGCACCCAAATCTGAGCACACGGGCCTACAACATTTCCGCCTCCATCGGAAATGCAGCCACCGCAGCCGGGATTTGAGCCCGCGACCTTCGGGACAGCAGCCGAGTACCTTAGCCACTAGACCACCGCGGCGGGGCCGTTTTGTGTTCTAGCGGCCGTTTTGTGTTCTAGCGACCACATTATTCGGTATTGTATATACCATACCAAAGCCATATCAAATTAAATGGTAGCATACATTACCACTTAAATACGTCACGGACGAGACGATGGTGCTAGGTGTGCGTCGCCGCAGGCGCGATAACCCCTACACCTGTTTATCGCAGTCATGAACGACGTTGAGGCGAAGTATCGTTTGTACTCTGAAAGTTATGAGCACTGCAATTACCGCACAAAAGGGAATGCCGCGTGGTATATTTTTGTATTCGATCGAGTAAAATTTTCAGTACACGAGTATACTTTATTTAGTTTATCAAAACTATCTTTTTTCCGCTTGAACCTTTGATCTTCAGCACCAAGTCACAATGTCAAAAATTGCACAAGGTCAAGATTTCAGACTAATTTCCGCATATATTCAATCATGATAATTAACCAGACATCTTTAATATTATGTGGCTTTGTGGTCAATAATTAGGCCTCGGGTCTTACGCAACCGACCAACGATGTGACTATGAGACACACCGTAGGGGTGTGCCCCGGAAATGTTGACCACCTGGAGTTTTTTAAAGTGCACAAACATTTCACCCGTACACGGGCATCTCGCACTCCGCCTCAATGGAGGCGCGATCACCGCAGAGTTTTATGGCTATAAGGAGGCATGGTTCTTGATGGGTCATTTTGCAAGGATACACAAATGAGGTATTAGCCACATTGGTACCATCCACTGCAACAGCACTAGAAAGAAATAATACTTACTTTGGCACTGGTATCCCTGCTTCCCAAAGCCCCTGTAAAAGTTAGAAAAAAGGGAAGGCGCGATTTAGTGATTCGGTTGGGGAATCAAGTGAAATAACGTATTAATCACAACATACTTTATTTTATACAAGCACAGAAAAAGTGATATCGTTTATTACTTTATTGGCAGAGGCAATAAAACCGATAAGTAACGCATAAAAAATCAGAACGTCCTTAAATAGAAGTGTACTTCAAGCTGAACACTTCAAAGTAAAAAGAAAGTCATCATAGCTATCCCAAAATAAGCCCAAAATTCGAAGAACTACATGTATTTGTCGATCTAGCGCACGAAAAAGCCGTATAAAACATTAGGTTGCTGGATTACATATCGCAGTACCCTTGATGACTTCTTATAGAAAACGTATATTTCAGGGTTTGAATGCATGCAGCCATTTCTCTAAATCTTGGCTCCCCAATATCATAGTACTGTCCTTATAACACATTTCTAGTCAGGAGCTTGTTCAGTTTCTTCCACATGGTTTTTGTCAGGACATTTGGAAAAAAAATACAGACCTGAACTATTAGCCATAATGGGATCAACAAAAAAAGAATGCCCAGCTACGAAAGCAACAGCATGGCTCTCAGGTGTGCTGCTAACTTAACATTACTTTGTGACAAGCTGACACCATGCAAGGCACATAGTATATAAAAACACACAGCACAGGACTGGTAGACACACGTGCGCCTCAACAAATTAGATCACGGCATATATTTCATAATTAGGAAAAAAATTGTATATTAACAGATTTTTGGGTTCGATTCATGCATGAAGTGATGTTTATGGAATGCGGTACGACAGTTGACGTCAACGACAGAACCGCCATAAATCCAGAAGCCCCTTTGTCTGTTGGCCTAATTACGCTCGGCAATATATACATTTTAATAATATGTATTGTGCGCTTTTGAAAGCAACGACATAATTAGGAGGCACACCGCAGTGAATAGTATCGTAATTTTCCATAATCGGATGTTTAACATGTATTGACCACGCCATGTTCACGGACCTCTAGGCCTCCATTAAAATGCGACCCCACCAGCCGGAATCGAACCCGCGACCTTAGAATCAACAACCGAGCACGGCAACTACGGTACAATAGCAGCGGACGAAGCGAACAGATAACGAAACTGCGAAAAGTATAAGGACATTTTTTTTTGTAGTTTCTAACCGAGGTGTTATTCATGAGGATGTAAAGAGAAAACGAGTCAAAGTTGAAGAAAAGGCTGGCCATCGGTGCGGACTGAAAACAAAAGCTCACAGTTTGGCGTCCAAAGTTACACCAGTAAACATCATTGGTGGAAGCCATTCCTCCGTCTACTTTATTCAGGCTTTCTCCGGGCGTAATCCTGTAGGAGGGTTAGCCAGCACCGCTGAGAGTCATTACTGCCGACGACAGCCGTGAGGCGACACTCGTGGGTTTCGTTTCTGAACTATGAAGTTCAACAGGCTACGTCCTACAGCACACAGCAGTGCATGCTCTACCGCGAAATTCGGCCTCCTGACCACGTACGGCTCGTGGATTCCACGTAGAGCTCTACTACTGATGTGTGCGCCTTGGAAACGCTATTCCCGACGCCTAGCTGGGTGCTAGGCTAGAATGCGCAAGGGGAGAAGCCCGACATTCGATATAATTCCAGTCACGGGTCACATTCTTCCCAAGGCGCTCCGCGGGTAGACAGAATATGAAGCTCCAGAAATCTTTGTTTTGATCCTATCTCGACTGGGCTGTGCATTGTAAACGCGTCGGAGCACGCGCAGTACGTAGCGAGACAGTCGTGCGTGAGAACGAAACGGTCATAAAGCGCGCAGTGTCGAGCGCCTGTTCATTTTTATTTCGCGAGTGAATAGCCTAAATCCGAGAACAAATGACGGACACGCGTCACAAACAACACCCACTGGAGGCCACTCGCTGCAATTTACATTTGAATACACGCATTACGGCTGTGCTTCATCCCAGAATTCTTCCTTCCTTTCTTCCCGTTTTTACTGCGACGAAAAAAAGGACACTCAGTCAATTTTTGTCGTCACCGTCATGTCTCCGATATGGATATGTACTTATATATCTAAACAAAAGCATAAAGCAAAGTGAATCAGTAGAAAAACACTCAGAGCAACATACCGGGCATTCGAACCAGCGACCCCTCGCTTCAAAGCCCGCTGCGCTAGCCAACATTGTCATGCGCCGTTTTTTTTTCTTTCATGGTACTTGTTATAATGCGTATTGGAAATTTAAACATCTGCGGTTACGTAGTAAGGCTTGTGCCGGTGATATAACAGTGATCTATTCATATGCACCATTTACTGTTCGCGGTATACGCAGATCTCAGAAAAGCTTGAGCGTATTTTGTATCCGCAACACTTTAGGATTATCTTTCAAATTGAAAACGGTCTTTGAGACGCGAAAAAAAAAAAGATGGCCCACTTTTGTACCCCTTATAATGTAGAAGACAGACAACGAAAAATATACAGGGCACACTTCAGGTGTCAGACGCCACCGCGTGGCGAAAGACACCGCTTTGACGCCCTCCAGGCATTTCGATACGATCAGACCGATTTAGTATTTCCTGCTGAAAACGCGGAATGCACAAATCCGATTTTACTCGTATTAACTTCATTCAGCGCCGCTACAAACTAGGTTAAGTTCAGCTAGTTTCGTTACAGCGTCCAGACATTAAGCCTCGTCTAAAGCAACATTAATAAGCCGCCATGCATTTCAGCACAGTCAGCTTTCGCTAACGTACTACGTGTCTGGCATGCTGCCGACAAAGCGTAAACGCATGCGTGCCTGCATTTATAATGTATGCGCCATCCTTACGCCCAAAGCCGAGCGGTCAGAAAGCCTTTGCTGCATTACACGATTCCAAACAACTGAACGAAAAAACCTTATGCTGGTGATGAGGTGCGTAATGGGAATTCATATTTACATGCAGATGCTGCCGAAGGGAGATCGCCAGGGGAGGGAATGAAAGCCACGAGCTGTAATTCAGCAAAGGAAGCAGCAGTGCAGAGGTCTGCTTTATGTAAATGTTCATAATTTGTGAAAATTTACGCGCCAAAACCAGAATACGATTACGCATCGTTATTACGGATTGTAATTATTATGGATACTATTAAGCGTTGTGGTAAGTGAAATGATGTCTTAATGTACACAGGCCTCCCACGTCCATGTAAATGCAACCTGCCGCCACGGGGATCGAACTCACGACCTCTGGGTCGTATAACTGCTTCGGCAGGCTGTAGTGTGTGCTGAAACAAAACTAGAAAACATTGAGAGGAGAAAGTCAAAAAGCAATAGGGACGGTTGCTTCCTGCGTTTAACGCCTCAAGCTTTTACCAGTTCTTGTTTCATAGGAGTAATTCAACGGGAGACAGCCGAGCCCAACTTAAGGGAAGGTGCATAATGTCTCTTTCTATGTCGGATCACAAATTGCTTGGTTGTTTTTCATCGCCACCGCACTATTCGCATTTAGAAGCCCACGCATCCATATTACTGAATGGCTGTCTTTTTCTACGATGCCCATTTGCGATGCAAAGAGGCTGGACAGCTGCGGCTGTCACGCATTTGAACAATAAAACAAGTTTACACATTTTTACAACACAGAGCCCGTAAGGACTTCAGCATATGAACACTGAATCGGCCCCAAAACACACACAAATCATGATTGAGCGAGCAGTGAACTTGGGAAGGAACAATAGGAGTGCAGACAATGCCACACAATTTTCACGTTTATATTTATTATACGAGATTCGAAGCAAAAAATGGACCCGACAAGTGATAACGTTTGAGGTAATACGCACAATGAGAAATATATTTTCATTCAGAGAAAACTTCAGAGATGGATCACGACGGCACATACATTTCTGAAACGATGCGAAGAATTCGATTCAGAGGTAGCGCTGCCTGCGATGGCAGCTTCTCTACTCTAGTAACAGCCACTGAATAAAGATAGAGAGAGAGAGATGAGAGAGAAGGGAGAGAAGGGAGAGAAGGGAGAGAAAGGTATAGCACGTAAGAAGAACTTTTCTTTTTCCTTAAGATATTCGCTACCTAAAGGCGATCGTCACATTAAAAGGAATACCAAATGCACAGAAAATACTTTTTTTTTCTTTCTTTCTGGACTAAATTATTATTCCCTCTTGGCGTTACCATTGGGGTCGCGTTACAATCGAGTAAATACGGTACTCTGAGGCGACCACTTTCGGCGACAGTGTCGCTTTGCATGACGTGGAACGGCACGTGTTCAATTAACACAAGCGACTACATGCAGTGCCCAAATTTATCTCGAAATATTCAGTACTGCTGTACAACGCGAATAAATGCGGCTGCATGCGAGTGACTTCGGTATACCAAGATCTTATACATATATTTGTTTTTTTCGCTCACCGGTCACCGCTCGATCACAAATCTCAAATCGCAGCCGGGCGCGCTAAGAAATGCCCTCGAAGGTAAAGCTGGCGACCAGACACGATACGCGAGGTTTGGTTTTTGTCTGATAGCGGACTCGATTTATGGATCTCACCACGGCTGCGCACACGACATTGGCATCAACGCAGCTGTGAGCCGTAAATAAGCGGCCGCCCAAAGAACGCTTCGTTAGCCAAGTGTGCGCTTAGCCAAAGGCAGCGTATGGGAAGCCATTGACGTTCACAAGAACCAGGCTGTAGGCCTGTGCACGTGAACACGTCACACACGTATAAAGCTGAATTACGTCCCAGTCTTTTGTACAGGCTTCGTATACGTGGATACGACTACAGGTACTAGACACGCGCCAGGAGTGGACTATGAGTGGACGGTATGTGAAATAGTGAAAATAAATTACAGGGGTATGACGTTGGAAAAATCCCATACGATTTTAAGGAACGCTGTAGTGGAGAAGTCGGAATTAAGTTTGACCAGCTTGGGTTCTCGAACGCGAAGACAAATTCAAATACGCGGTATCATTTTTTCTTCTACTTCTTATTCATTTGTTTTTTTCTTATTCATTTCTATTTGTT